GGGAGCCGGGAAGGTCCCATCTACACCCCTCAGGGCCCCAGGACTGCGAGTGCCCATCCTGCCCCAGCACAGAGCCACAGGCAAGGGGGTGTCATGGCCCTCGGCCCCAGAGCAGCCCCACTGCTGCCCTGGGGATACGCCCCCCCCCGCGGCTCAGCCCCCCTGTATCCCTCTAACTTGGTCCTGCCTTTCCCTCTTGCTAGTGGACTCTGATGACGCCACAGTCTGCACCAGTTCCCTGCTGAGCTCTGCATCTCCAGCCAGCGCAGGGACCCCCCACAGCAAGGAGGCCATGGGCACCCCACCGCCCTCCCCGTCTGTCAGCAGCGGCCTCTCGGGGGCTGGGTGAGGCTCCGCCAGGGGGACTGGAGGGAGGCCGGAGTAGGGTTAATGTCCCGCAGGCTTGTTAACCATTTCCCTCCAGCAGAGCCAGCCACACTGCTCTGTCCCAGCCCGCCTGGCGTGTTCACCCTCCTCTGTGTCCCCTGGCCCAGAAGGGAGGGGGTCCATGCTGCACCATGTGGGGTACGCACTGCCAGGCAGTGAGGGGCGGGGGCTGTGCCACACCCCCCCAGCCCCCGGGCCTGAGACGCTCTGGTTGTTAAATGAAAGCGGAGATTGCGGGCGATGTTCCCGTGCCCCTTGGGCCACATGGGTGATGCCCATGGGGAGGAGGGGCTGGAGCTGGCTGTGGGGCAGCAGGAGACCCGAATGGGGCTGGATCCGGAGGGACGCTGGTACGGGGAGGGGGTGGCTAGGCCCAGCCCTGAGGGGCGGAGCGTGGCTGGGGCTATGTTGCTGTGGCTGTCGCCCAGGTCCCTGAGCCCCGGCGTGGAGGTGATGGGCCTGCAGGTCGACTACTGGACAAGCCAGGGGCCGGAGAAGAAGAAGGAGGGAGAGAAGCGGGAGATGGGCTTGAAGAACACACTGAAGAGCAACTTCCGGTCGCTGCAGGTCAGCCGCGTGCCCGGCGCCGGGGAGCTGGTCCCCCCCAGCACCATGGCCATGACCGTGGTCACCAAGGAGAAGAACAAGAAAGGTAACGGCTGGCAAAGGCCCAGGCAGGGCCTGCACCTGTCCCAGCCTGCCCTGGAGGGGGCGGAGAGTCCCAGCCTGGCTCCCCTGGCAGGGCTGGCTCTAGGAGTCTTTGCTTTCTCCTCCCAGTGATGTTCCTGAGTAAGAAACCCAAGGAGAAGGACCTGGAGCCCAAAAGCCAAGTCATCGAAGGGATTACGCGCCTGATCTGTACGGCTAAGCACCAGAACACCATGCTCCGAGGTGAGGGCGGCCCAGCACCATGCCACACCCCTCCAGAGAGCCAGCCAGGCCAACAGCTCTGCCCCACCACTTGGACACCGGGGGCTGGCTGAGCTCTGCCAGAGTCTCTCTCTCCCCCGGCCCAGCTCTGGGGGGGTGAGCTGTGCATGCACCCACACAGCCCTGCCCCCCACAGCTGAGCTGCATGTGTGCTTTGAGCACAGCGACCAGAACATTGGGCACCATTAAGAAAGAGATAGATAATAAGACAGAAAATATCCTATTGCCTCTGTATAAATCCATGGTACGCCCACGTCTTGAATACTGCCTGCAGATGTGGTCGCCCCATCACTAAAAAGATCTATTGGATTTGGAAAAGGTTCAGAAAAGGGCAATAAAAATGATTAGGGGTTTGGAACGGCTGCTGTATGAGAAGAGATTAATAGGACGGGGACTTTTCAGCTTGGAAAGGAGATGACTAAGGGGGGATCTGATAGAGGTCTATAAAATCATGACTGGTGTGGAGAAAGTAAATAAATAAGTGCTATTTACTCCTCTTAACACAAGAACTAGGGGTCACCAAATGAAATTAATAGGCAGCAGGTTTAAAACAAAAGGAAGTATTTTTTCACACAACGCACAGTCAACCCGTGGAACTCTTTGCCAGAGGATGTTGTGAAGGTCAAAACTATAACAGGATTCAAAAAAGAACTAGATAAGTTCACGGAGGACAGGTCACCATCAAAGGCTATTAGCCAGGATGGGCAGGGATGGTGGCCCTAGCCTCTGTTTGCCAGACACTGGGAATGGGCGACAGGGGATGGATCACCTGATGATTCCCGGTTCTGTTCATTCCCTCTGGGGCACCTGGCATTGGCCACTGTCATAAGACAGGATACTGGGCTGGATGGACCTTTGGTCTGACCCAGGGTGGCCGTTCTTATGTTTGGCGCTGTGCTCTCTCCTCTCAGTGTCCATCGACGGCGTGGAGTGGAACGACGTGAAGTTTTTCCAGCTAGCAGCACAGTGGCCAACACACGTCAAGCATCTCCCCGTGGGCATCTTTGGCTACTCGAAGAGCGTGTGAGCCAGCCGGGCGGCCCGGGAGCCGGGACTCTGCTGAGTGTGGCAGGAGGCGGCCATGGCCATGGCCCATCCCTTCTGCTGGGCACGGGGGGAGGTTCCAGGCCCTGGCTGTTCCCACTCGGTTTCTTTCCCCCAAGGGGCTTTTAACATGCAGCTAGAACTGGTGCAACGGGGAATCCATGTGGCTTCCAGAGCTACCACCCCCCAGGCCAGCCTCCCACCACCAGGGGGCAGGGGCCCACCCCAGGGAAGGGAGGGGGACTGGGAGCTGCTTGAGGGTGTCTTACTGGTGCTGCACCAGCAGAGCGGGCTGCTCTGGCTCCCGCCGGGGGGTAGCTCAGCCAGTGGCACCCTCTGGCCAGGGCCTAACTTCAGTCACCCCCTTTCGGAAGCCCCAGGGCCCCACTGGCAGCTCCAGGCAGTTGAGGGGTCTCTGCCCCACCCTGCCGTTTCGGTTAGGGGATGTCACCCCTTGCTCAAGGCCCTGCAGCAGCCCCTAGACCTGGGCCCAGCCCCCCTGCCGCCCACTAGGGAACACGAGGGCCGCTGGAGCTGCAGCCTGTGGACCAGCTGAGGCTCTCCTAGCACTGCACGTAGGAAGCCACGAATGTGGCAGGTGGGGGCCTCCTCCACCATCAGCTCCAGGGCCCCAGCGCTAGGGGAGCTGTGCTGCAGCGAGCCTGGGGGGCAGGGCTGCTCCGCAGTGAGGTCCCAGGCACTGGCCCGGGGGGAGCAGAAAGCTGGGCTGGCCCAGCTGTGCCCTCAGCGCCAGGAGCCAGCACCCAGCCATTCACCGAGCCTCCACCCGTCAGTCCGCGCTGCAGCCCCCTGCTCAGAAATGCTAGGGGCAGGCCCACCCGCTGCAGATGGGGGGACCCTGGGCACGGGCTGCGTTTTCCCACTTACTGCTGGCATGGGGTTCACACGAGGAGTGTGGCAGCCTCCCAGCCCTGGCACTGCAGCTGATCTCACACTCCTGCCCTCCGCCTGGCAGACTCCAAGCCCAGCCCAGCCCCTCATGCTGCCAAACCGCTCCCTGCCCTCGGAGACCCAAACGGGGGGCTGGGCGGCCGGCGGGGGCGTTACCCTGTTTTTTTTACAAGATTCTATTTTTTTTAAACTTACTGTATGGTTGCTTTTCTGGATTAATTTTAATAAATTAATGCTGGTACCACTGTGACTGAGGTGCAGGGTGTGTAGAGCTGGGCCCCGTGCGGGAAGGGGGTGCAGAGCCCCTCAGCCATGGCCAATGCTGCTGCCTCTCACACAGCTGTGTTCTGGTGGGCGAGAACCCCACATGTGGCGGGCGCTGGGGCTTGGGGGCTTACAAACCGTGCATGGCTATGGCTGCTGCAGATGCCAGGTACTGCGCAGAGCGCAGCTCCCAGGAGACGGTGCCAGCCAGGCCAGGAATGCCAAGCCCAGCTCCAGGGACTTGCCATCAATGCTGACCCCCCCGTCCCAGGCACCTGGGAGAATCAGGAGCTGCCAGTGGAGCCAGACGGCTCAATTCTGCCACTAGCCTAATGGGGGTGCTGGCACCAGCCTCACCAGAGCAAGGGAGGGAGCCCCCCATAACCTCCAGCTGTGCCCAAGCCCCTGCACACTGGGGGTGAGGTGCCAGCTCTGCCGTTCCCTGGTAGGGCCCAGGGCTGCGGGCACAGATCAGCAAAGGGAGGGCACAGATCAGCACAGCTGTTTTATTTAAATTAAAAACCTCGAGCCCTTGGGAATCGTGTCTTGTGCTCCAGGGGCAGTGGCTGGGCCCAGGCAGGGCTTCTCCTGGCTCGAGCACCAGGCGTGCCTAGACCCCCAGCACCGGGCAGCCAATGCACTGCCTGTGGCTGGGGCTCCGGCACCCCAGGGAGCAGTGTCCGTGCCCGCCTGGCCCACGCGCACAGCCCCGCTCCGCTTCTACCTGAAGGTGGAGAAGGTCTGTCTCCTCTCGGCGCAGGCTGCGTTGGGCATCGTCTTGATCTCCACTGTCTGGAAGGTGACTTGGGGCGGGCGCTGCTGGGGCGGAGAGGGGGAGGGGGAGGGGGTGGGCTCCGTGGAGACGTACTCCAGCAGCTGGGGGTTGTCCTCCTGGCGCCGCACGTAGCCCTGGCTCAGCAGGTGCAGGGTGCAGGACAGCACGTCCGTGCTGCTGCAGCAGAAGCTGAGGAACTTCAGGGCAGGGCCAGACTCCCATTTCTGACAGGCGTCGATCACCTGGGGGGAAAGAGGGCAGTTACTCTGAGGCTGCTGGGGCGCGGAGCAGCGCGGCCGCTCGCCTGCCAGGCCCCCGTACCTTGAACACCAGGTTATCGATGTGCAGCTCCTTCTCCCCTTTCAGGATCTGGATGATGAGGCAGCAGATGATGTTCCTCTTCCTCTCCAGGGTGCTTCCCTCGTCATCCTCCACATTCAGGTACGTCTGCTTGGGGAGCAGCCACAGGCGCTGGCCGGCCGCCCGCGCCAGGGCCCCCTCGTTCAGACGCAGGACGCCTGGGACCAACACAGCCAGGCTCAGCCATGCCTAGGGAGCGGTTCCTCCAGCACCCCCGGCCCCGCTTGGGGACCAGCCCCAGCCCTCCATGGGCCCTCCCCACACATATCCCACCCCCCAGCCCTGCTTGGGGACCAGCCCCAGCCCCTCCATGTGCCCCCCCTTCACATATCCCACCCCCCAGCCCTGCTTGGGGACCAGCCCTAGCCCTCCATGCCCCCCCTCACATATCCCACCCCCCAACGGTGCTTGGGGACCAGCCCCAGCCCCTCCACGCGCCCTCCCTCCCATGTACCCTCTCCGGCCCCTCTTGGGGACCAGCCCCAGCCCCTACACACACATCAGCCCAGTTCTCCCTCCTCCTCCCCTCGAGCCCTGCTTAGGGACCAGCCCCAGGCCTCCCACATACCCCCCACACCATGCCCCCTCTGGCCCTGCTTGGGGACCAGCCCCTCCACACCCACCAGCCCAGTTCCCCCTTCCCCCCCGGCCCAGCTTGGAGACTGGCCCCTCCGGACGCAAACCCCCTTCCAGCTCACAGACAAGCCCCGTGCTCCCTGGCACCTGCTCTGGGCCCAGCCCAGCCCGGCCAACCCTCCACACCCCCACCAGGCCCAGCGCAGGGGCTCCAGGGCTCCATCCCCAGCTGTGGTCCCCCTGTTCAGGGACCACCCAGGGACAGGGCTCAACCCCCCCCCTGCCCGGTCCCTCCATACGCACCCCCCTGAGGCAGGCTCTGGGTCAGGATCCCGGCCTCTCCCGTCAGAGGTTTCAGTGCGTGGCTCAGCAGGACAGGAGACAGCCCCGTGGCCTGGGCCAGGGTCTCCACAGCAACTTCCTGCGGCGCAAAGGAGACAGGAAGTGAATACGCAGGGGCAGGGCCATGGCGGTGGGGCGACAGCTCTGGGGGCCAGGACAGGCCAACTGGGCCAGGTGTCTTGGGGCCACGGCCCAGGGGCTGGGGCAATGGGGCGAGGTCTCTGGGGGCCGTGGCATGGGGGCGAGGTCGCTGGGGGCTGTGGGGGAGGGGCCGGAGGGGGGGGGGGCTGAGGGGCAAAGGGGAGAGAAAATAACACAGATTCCTCTGGCACAAGCCACCCGGGGGAAACAGCGGCTGCTTGGCCACAGGGGGGCAGGGACCAGGGCTGTGGAGATGAGAGTCCAAGGGCTCGGGAAGTGGGGGGGGGGGGGACGAGGGGAGGGGGGGGGGGGCCCGGGGGGGGAGGACAGACCGTCTCTGCCCCATATGGATGAGCTGGGGGGAAGGCGCTCTCTGTGCTGCAAGGACAGGAGCAGTTGGTGCCCCATTTACACCAGCTGTGGGGTCCCACCCCCCAGGGGAGCGGGGGTCCCACCTGGGCGCTGTTGAAGCCCAGCAGGATGTACATCTGCAGGGTGGAGACGTGCAGGGTGGTGCTGCCCGCGAACCGGAGCTCCGCGTGGCCCAGCCACGTCCACTGCAGGCGCCGCGGCTTTGTGTGCTCCAGGCCAAACCGGCTCTGACCTGCAAGAGACGCGGCCAGTCCCAGCAGAGCCACCAGAGCGCCGGGCCCGCGGGGTCCCCGAGCCAGCCGGGGCTGCCCCCCACCCCCAGGCGGGGCTGGAGCTCACCCCACTGCTCAGCCTAGCCCCCGTTCCCCACCCTCCCCCTGGTGCCCCCTCTCCAATCACACGCCCCCACCCCGGTACCCTCTCCCCTGTCACACGCCGCTCCCCGCCACCACCATGGGGCACAGTGTCCACCCCCCAGCCCCTGCCCGGCCCAGTCGCCCCCCCAGCGCCCAGACTCACTGTTGGTGTAGAAGTCGGCGAACCGCGCCAAGTAGCCCCCGAGGGGCCGCGGGAAACACCTGCTGGGATCCTCCAGGTAGCAGAGCGGGGAGACGGTCCAGCAGCGCGGGGACAGGGCCAGCACCTTCACCTCCGGCTCCTCCTCTGGCTCGGCCGGCTCCTCCTCCATCGCCTGGGGATGGGCGCAGGGGTCAGGCTCCCGCCAGGGGCTCGTCTGCGGCACCTCCTGGGAAGGGAGGGGGCACGGCCCAGACCCCGCCCCCCAGGGGAAGGGAGGGGGCACAGCACAGACCCCGCTCCCCTCCCCAGCCCTCCATGTTCTCCCCCCATGTGCCCGGGGAAGGGAGGGGGAACCGCACAGACCCCACCACCCTCCCCAGCCCCCCATGTGCCCGGGGAAGGGAGGGGGCACAGCCCAGACCCCGCCCCGCCCGGGTTCTCACCGCATCCTCCTGGCCCGCGTCCAGCTCCAGCAGGCGCTTGTCGAGCTGCTGCAGCTGGAAGAGGTGGAATTGCTGCTGCAGCTCCTCCGACTCACTCAGGCTCTTCAGCATCTGCTGGGGGAAGCGATTGGGGAAGCAGAGCCCGATCTGCTCCACGACGGCCCGTTCCAGCCACACGTTCCCCTGGGCCAGGAGCCGGTCGCCCAGGTAATACCTGCAACGGCAGCCGGCGTCAGGGCAGGGCCAGAGCCCCCGACTCCCTCCCCGGCCCCTAGACCTGGAGCCACCCCCAATTCCCATCCCGGAACCCCCCCGGGACCCTCCATGCCTTCGCTATGGCCTGGAGCAGGGCATGCCGGCCGGCCGGCCGCTGGTGAACGCTGTGGGGCCCGGGGCTGGGCCTGACCCAGCCTGTGGGCCCTGCAGTGCCCTGCTGCCCCCCTGCAAGCCACGGCTGGGGACACAGGCTCTGGGCTGGTGGCCGGGGTCCGGCTGGACTTTGGGGAGCCCACGGCCCGAGCCGAGCCAGAGCCCCCATGACAAGCCAGGCACCAGCACCCGCTGATGCGCCGGGCAAAGCCAGAGCCCAGGCCAGGCGAGGGGCACAGCTCCCCACACCCCCGGCTGGGGCCCCTCACCGGTAGAAGTGCTCGAAGGTGTTGGCGAGCTCCAGGCCGGAGAGGAAGAGGATGGGCTCCAGGCTCCGCTGCAGCCGATGCAGCGACTCCACGTTGCCCGCGTCCGTCTGGCTTTCCTGGATCCGCTGGTCCACATAGCGAGCGAACTGCTCGCTCACCTGCGGGGGAGAGCGCCAGCTGCCAGGGCCTGCTCGGGGCGGCTCCCCACGGCAGCTCAGGGGACACCCACATGATGGGGGGGCTCTGGGGGAGGGAACAGTCCTGCGGAGGGGGAGGCCACTCCCTAGGAGCTGGGGTCACCCCACCCGTGGAGACGGGGAGGCGGGGCCGTGGGAGCTGCGTGTCTGGGCGGTGGGCAAGGGGGCTTGAGGGGCCCGCTCCCTCTCAGAGCCCAGGGCTGTTGGAGCAGCGGGGGTTAACTGGCAGAGACCCCCATGCACCTGGGACCCCTCAGACCCCGGACGGCAGCCAGGAGCGTGGCTGGGCAGAGCCGACGCCGGGGGGCTCGGCCCCACTGGGGCACAGGCAGCCTCTAGCCCCGCGGGCTGGCACCAGGCCGAGCAGCCTGGAAGCGCTCCTGGGCCCCAGGCTCCCCCCCCACCCCCGGGCCAGGCCAGCCCCCCACTCACGTGCATGGCCGTCAGGAAGGAGAGCTGCAGCAGGGCCCCGGAGAAGCCCTGCCGCAGGGCCAGCGCGAAGGCCGTCTGCTGCCCGAACAGCTCCTCCATGGCGCCGCGCAGGCCCAGGTAGAGCCGGCAGTACCGCTCCACGAAGTCCGGCCCCTGCCACCACGACTCCAGGAACCGCTTCACCTGGGCAGGGGCAGGCGGCACTCGGTTACAGGCGCGGGGAGGGCCCCGGGGGGAGGGGGAGGGACAGGCTGGGCTGGACGCGGGGAGGGGACAGGCCGGGACAGGTGTCTGTGGGGGGCAGGATGGATGGGGGGGCGGGGGGAGGGCCCTGGGGGGATGGGCTGGCCAGCCCCAGGGGGTACAGGGTGGGCCGGGCGTGGGGGTGGCCCCGAAGGTGGGGAGGGTCCCAGGAGGACAGGACGGGCCAGGCGTGGGTAGGTCTCTCCGTATCTAGTGTCCCATGGGCCTGGGGCAGGAGCTGCAGAGACAGAGGTGGATGGGGGCCTGCTACCCCCACGCAGGGTGGGGAGGGGGTGGGCAGCAGATACACACACAGATCAACAGCCCCCTCCCAGCTGCTGCTGCAGGACACACTCCTCCCCCATGCCCCCCCCCCCGCACACACCTGCTGCTGCACCACGCCCCTCCCCCGTCGCCCCCCCCGCACACACCTGCTGCTGCACCACGCCCCTCCCCCGTCGCCCCCCCGCACACACCTGCTGCTGCACCACGCCCCTCCAGCACTGCGTAATCCCCGTCATGCTGCTGGGCTTCTTCCCCGACACCTTGGCGGCCCCAGAGCTGGTCTCCTTGTTCTTCCCGTTCTTCCCGTCTGCCAAGGGGGGGCCGGCGTGAGAGCAGCGCCCGGGGGGCAGGGCGGGGGCAGCGCCAGCACTACCCCCTCCCCAACCCCAAAGCCGCCTGTGGGGCGAGGGCTGGGCCCGACCCTCCCAGCCTCCCCCGGGGGGGCCCACTTCAGCCCCACACGGTCACTGAGTGCGGGGGAGGGGGCAGGGGCAAGCCGGGCGCTCGGGAGCCAGCCAGCCCCAGGCACCCCGGGGCAGCGGAGTAGCCACGCCCGGCCGGGATCCTGCCCCCTACAACAGGGCTGGCCTTTGCAGAGGGGCGTCTGGCACCTGCCGGCTCTGCCTGTGGGCACCAGACCCACGGATCTGAGTGCTGGGCTAGGCCCCCACGTCTCTGTCTCCTACACCCCGGCCCCAGGGCCTTGAGGAGCAGCCTCTGCTGCGCCAGGCCCAGGGGCTGCCCGCCCGCCCCGCAGAGCGCTCTCCCACCTCACCCCGCCTGCGGGCATCGGGCACACACAGGGTCGAGCCCAGCTTGGCGCCAGTGCCCGGCTCTGGCAGGACGTGCAAAAGGCAGCCCGGAGAGTCCTTACCCGTAGGGACCCCTCTCCCCACTCAGCCCCGGGCAGCACCCCAGGGCCTCCTCCCACAGCCCCCCTCCCTGCCTGGCCCCAAAGCCCCACGGGGGAGGGGCCCTTACTGGCTTTGACCGGGGCTCTCAGCTCCTCGGGCTCCGGGCTGCCGGGGTCCACGTGCACCAGCAGGTGGCTCAGGCGCCGCACGCGGGAGTTGAAGATGGTGGCGCGGCTCTTGGCGCGTCGGGCCGTCTCCAGGTTCTCCAGGTACTCGCTCAGGAGCCAGGCCAGGGGGCTGACGCCGCTGGGATCTGCAAGGCCAGAGGGGGAGGCTGAGCCAGGCGGGCCGGGCGGGCTGGGGGCAGCGGGGAGCCGGGCAGGGGGAACCGGTACCTGGGCTGGTGATGCTCTGCACCAAGGGATTGATTAGGGCCTCCCAGCAGGTCCTGCCCAGAGCCTGGGCCGCCTCGTCATCGGGAAGGAAGCGATCGGCGAACACCTGCTCGTGCCGCAGGGCGCAGTTCAGCCTGCAACAGCAGAGACACCCGCACCAGTCACTGGTGGGGCCCTGGGGCCTTGCCAGCGCTGGGGGGACCCCGGGTACAGACACACACAGGGCAGGGCACTGCCGGGGGCTCTGGGCAGCGCTGGGGGACCCCGGGTACAGGCCTCACCTGTTGAAGAGCTGCAGCAGCTGCATGCGCTCGTCCGCGATCTCCTGGCACCACGTGTGCGCCTGGGTGGTGTAGAACAGGTACGTGCGCCGGCACAGCTGCTCCTTGAAGATCGGCCAGAAGGTGGGCTTGGGCCCCAGGATCTCGATGCCACGCACACGCGTGTCAATGCCACCCTGCACAGGGCACAAAGCTCCCCGGTTAGACGTGGGCCCGCCAGGCCGAGCGACTCCCGGCCCGGGGCCAGGCCTCTCGCTGCCCGTGGAGGCCCTGCGGGGGGCGAGGGAGGCCAGGGACCGGCTCGGCCGCACACAGGGACGGGGGTGTGACGTTGCACTCCATATTTTTTATGGAAATGCCCTTTGAGTGTGACTATGATGTAACTGGAATATGCTGTATGCAAAAGGTCTCTTGTAAGGTATCATAACAAAGGTTATAACCTACTGAATATATTCCTCCTACTTCTATGCATGTATCATTCTTGTATCTGAAGCTAGAAAGATGAAGTGTAACTCTGACGGCCTGTTGTAATTATGCAAAGTGTGGGCCATTAATGGTGGTTTAGAATCGTGATGGCTCCCAGTGACTGGGACAATTGGTTGTAAATGGTTTATTTACCTGTGTAGGTGTGGGCCAGCCCGGGAAGAATGGAGACTAGGTCTTACAGTGACAAGTGACCATGTCACACGATACTGGAATCCATCTTAGATCTGGTACTTTTCCATTTAGAAGGAGGGGTGGGGACCCAGAGAGACAAAGGATTCCCACCTTGTGCCAAAGCTATAAAAGGGGGTGGAGCAGGACAAAGGGGGCTGCCAGTCATGAGAAATCCCCTGCTTACCACCTGAGATGTCTGCTGGAACGAACAAGGACTGGACCAGGGGAAAGGATCGGGCCCAGGCTAGGAAGGAGTCTAGTCTGTGAAAGAAGCTTATTGGAACATCTCTGAGGGTCAGATATAACCTGTAATCAGTTTCTTAATGTATTTAGACTTGCGTGTTTTTGCTTGGTGACTTACTTTGTTCTGTCTCTTATTACTTGAAACCACTTAAATCCTACTTTTTATACTTCATACAATCACTTTTGTTTATTAATAAACCCAGAGAAAGTGATTAATACCTGGGGGAGCAAACAGCTGTGCATCTCTCTCTATCAGTGTTATAGAGGGCGGACAATTTATGAATTTACCCTGTATAAGCTTTATACAGAGTAAAACGGATTTATTTGGGGTTTCCCCATTGGGAGCTGGGTGTCTGGGTGCTGGAGATGACTGAAAACAGCTCAGCAGGTTTCATAAGTCTGCAGCTTTGGGGACGTGGACCAGACCCTGGGTCGGGTTGCAGCAGGCTAGCATGTCTGGCTCAACAAGGCAGGGTTCTGGAAGTCCCAAGCTGGCAGGGAAAAACGGGCTCAGAGGCAAATTCAGCACATCAGGTGACAGTCCCAAGGGGGTCCCTGTGACCGAACCCGTCAGGGGGCCCGCCAGCACACCCACCTGCTGGCAGCGCTTGATCTTGATCTGGATGATGGGCCAGAAGCGGGTCAGGTTCTCCAGGAGGATCACTCGGCTGGCAGAGGGCATGACGTTCACCTGGGGGGGCAGGAGAGACGCAAGCCATCAGGACACAGAGATGACGAGGCCGCGAGAGATCCCGCCCCACGGGAGTGTTGTCCAGGCCCAGCCCCCAGAGCTACGTAAAGTGAAGCCGTGGGGTTAGCGGCGTGCAGGAACACGGGCCCCAAAGGGACGGGGCAAGGAGACGACCAGTAGCTGGGACGGGACTAGCCAGCAAGGCCTCTGCCGCTCCATCAGGCATCCCCAGGGCCCCTCCCAGCCACACCCGGGGAGATCACAGAAAGCATGGCTCTGCTGGAGCAGTCAGATGCGCCAGACCTCTCCACCGCTCCCTGCTGCCCCCCCCCCCGGCAGGGCCAATGGAAGACCAGCCCCTGGGAGCTCCACCGCGCTCAGGAGCTGCCGTCAACCCACCAGGAGAGGCCGCAGAGACCAGAGCCGATGGGGATGGAGAGGTGCCGCCGGGCACGGGAACTGGCTGACAGCCATAGACCAGTGGCCCATCCGAGTGAGACGCAGATCTCCCGTCATACCCCTGGGGCTCCCAGCCCGAGTGGTGCTACTAACCCAGCGTCACACCCCGCTCCCAGTGCCCAGGGGGCTGTAACTGACCCTGCTCCGTCCGCACGCAGCCAGCCGAGCAGGTTCCCAGCACCGCCAGCCCCAGCGCCCAGATCAGGCCCATCCACTGGGTTTGGAGCTGGGGGGGGGGTCCCAATTTCCAGCTTTTCTCTGCAGCGTGGGGGCTGGAGCCTCACTTGGGAAGTGACAGGCGGGATTCTCATGGAATCACCTGCCCCCAGGAGCTGCGGCTTTAAGGAGCAGCCCAGCCGTGCCGAGAGCTGGTGCCAGCGCTGTCACTAAGCACAGACCCAGTGCCCCGCACACCCGGCCGGCCGCCAGCACGGATGTACATGCTGCTCCCAGTAGGAACGCACAGGCCTGCCTGTCTGTCCCACCCACTCCCACGTCCCTCCCCAATGACCTCCTGGGACTCAGCGCTGCCTCGGGGTCCGGAAGGCGGCTCCTCTCGGTCCCTCCTCTGCTCTATGGCCACTGTGCAGCGGAGACTAGCACAATCCAAGCTAGGCACACGGCCCGGCCCAGACAGCGCCTCTGGCTTCTGGCTAGAGGTTTCCCAGGGCAGCTCACTCGGGCGTGGGCCAGGTGGGTAACAGGTCTGGGGAAGCAGAGGGCGGGAGGGTGGCAGGGTCTAGCAGCAGAAAGGAGAGCAGCTAGGACAAGGCAGGCTGTGCCAGGCCTGCACGGGGCGGACGAGGAGCAGGACAGGAGGGGAAGCCGGGACTTGGCCACTGGGTGTCTTGCCCCTCCCCCTGGAGCAGCTGGTCCTGGCCAGCGTTGGAGACGGACCCTGAGCTCGGGGCCCTGCCCTGCTCCTGCCCGCCTAGGAGAGCCCTGGTGACGTGCCTGCCAGGACAGGGCCTACAGGCCTGGGGCTGGCGACTCCCTGCACCTCGGGTGCTGCCTGCCCCAATTCCAAGGCAGTCGTGGCCCCGCCGGCCTGGGCCGGGCCGCCCCAGCTCCACACTGACCAGCAGAGGTGGGCGCTGGCAGGTGCGAAGCTCTCAGCCTGCGCCCGCCCTGCTAGGGAGCTCCCAAGCCACAGGACCCCCTCTCCTGTCCGGGGCGGCCTGGGCCACACTCACCGTATTGAGCTCGGTGCTGATGCTGGCCGGGTTCTCTCCTCCCATGACCACGATCCGGGCTGGCATGTAGCTGGAATCCTCGCTGGCCACCAGCAGGCTCATCTGTCTGCAGCCGGGGAGAGCCACAGCGTCGGCACCGGCCCATTTCTGGGCTGTGCTCCAGGCCGGAGCCTACGGTGCCCGTCCCGAGGGGCACGTCCGCCAGCGGGCTCAGAGCCTCGCATAGCCGCCGGTCCTAACGGGAGCCCCTGGCCCCAGCTCCTGGGGGGCTGCACCTGGCGCTGCACTGCTCTGGGCCAACAGTGCCAACAGCCATCCCAGCAGGGCATATGGCGCCCGTGGACACAGACGAGGGCCCTGCATGGCTGGCTACTGGAAAGGGAACCCACCCCAGCCAGGGAACCAGCATGTGCAGCCCCCCTGTGCCACCTTGGGCACCCTGCCACCCCTCGCCACATTGTTACCTGGGCCCAACTCCCCCCCATCCCCGGGACACCCTGGGCAGCCAGCCACCCTCTGCCCACCTGATCCCTCCTC